CCCCGACCCCTCCCCTCCCCGACCGCCCGGCGCGAGCCTCTGCGGCAGCAGCCCGGTGTTCACACGTATCTCGGTTTTTTTTTGTTTGTTTTTTGTTTTTGTTTTCTGTTTCAGAGAATTGGAAGCTAAAGCTACCAAAGACGTAGAAAGAAATCTTAGCAGGTAAGACGGGCGAGCTTTCCGTCTCCCGCCCCTTTATAATCGTGTAATTCCACTCTGGCTCGCCCTTTCTGGGTGTAGAAGTTCCCCCGTGTCATTTTCTTTCGCACGCAGGGACCGAGCTTCGGGAGCAGCGGCCCGAGGGAATCCTGGATGCAGGGATTGCGGGGATATGCGTAATGACGCGTGTGTGTTTCTTTAAAAAAAAATCGAAAGGCAATTCTTGTAAACTTAGTTAAAGCATTCTCACCCTTTTAGAATTTAATTAGGGGACTTGTGCATTAATTACTATTGTAAATGGTTGCAGGCATTGTGTGAGTCATGACTGAGGCGGCCCTTATGGCGGGCTGTCAAACTGTTTTGGCTTCCCCGTTATTACTTTGTAGTTCAAATTGTTGCCTTTATAAAAAGATACTATGTGTTCGCATTTTTAGGGTTTTTTTCCTCCAACACATTGTAGTCGGGCGGATTCTGTTGCACTGGAAACAGGTTTGCCCTTGAACTTTACCAAGCTTAAACTGCGTTTTGTTTTCCTTTGAAACTGCGTTTGTGTCTATGTTTAGTGTGTGCTCTTTTCATCAGCTGGTAAAATAATTAAAAATATGTCCCCAATATCTGGTTATCATTCCTTTTGGGCCTGAGTGCTTTTGCACCGTTAACTTAAAGCATCACGGCAAAGGGAGGGTTTTTGGTCTTTTTTTTTTTTTTTTTAAGATGACCGGTAAGGGGATCTTAACCCTTGACTTGGTGTTGTCAGCACCACGCTCACCCAGTGAGCTAAACGGCCATCCGAACCCATGGCCTTGGAGTGTTATCAGCACCACACTCTCCCGAGTGAGCTACAGGCTGGCCCTAGTCAGTGAGATTCTAATACAACCTAGCCAGAAGGGATTATGCAGTTGTATAGATTGAGTTGTAATTGCTTAAGCTTCAGGGAGTTGGCAGTGTATTTGACTCCTTTTCATATTCATTTTCTGCCTTACAGTCTTTTCCTTTCTTATTCACCTTTTACTTTTGCATCATATTGGGACAGGCAGAGAACCTTCCAGATTAATCAAATCAGTGAACAGCTTTTTTTTTTTTTTTAACTTGGACAAAATAAAATGAAATTTCTCCTATCTCAGGTCTTAACATACAATCTCTTGATGATTGTAAGTTTTAGGTTTATGTTGGGGTTATTAACAGTTCACAATCTGAATATTTTTCACCATATAGAATTGTTCCAAATTTCTGGCTTTTTGAGTTTATAGATATTAATCTGTTCAGGTGATGGTTGACAAAGGATGGTCATCGTTGTTTATCCAATAAGATTTTCTGTTCTGTTACTCAAAATAATTATGGGATCATTTAAAGGAAAATAAGCCTGACATCCTTGACCAAATAACTGTTTGTTGGACATTTAAATAAGTTTTGTTGTCAGAAGCTGTTGAAGCTATGTTGAGATATGGAACCATTTAAGGAAACAGGCTTAGTTACTAAAGTGTAATACCTGCAGCAGAAAAGAGCTTAGGGCTTGGGTCTATTTCTCCTCGCAGTTTTGTTCTGTCAGGTAATAACTATATCAGCATAATTCCTATGAAGGTGTTCTAGGATTTAATTAAAAATTGTCTGTACCATGGGTGTAATTTTCATATGGTATTATGTTTGGGTAGATCTTGGAGTTTCTTTATCAGCTGTGTATCACAGTTTGAATTCCAGCTCTGCCACTTACGATGACCTTGACTCTTGGCAAGTCACTTAGCTTCTCTGTCTAATCTATAAAATGAGAGGGTTGGGCCAGCCAGTTGCTAAAGTTGTTTAGTTTCCTTGAGTTATATAAAAAGGAGTCAAGTGCTGTTCCATGCCTACACAGGGCATGCACAATCTAGTAGGAAGACTATAACAAGTATGTCCATTAATAGAAGGCAGATGATGTAGGGGTCAAAAGAAGATACCATCCCATTCATGTGCTTGAGGATCTGCAGTTGGTCAGAAGGCGTGGAAAGGAAAAACAAATGTCAAGGAGATTATAAAGCAGTGTGTACGGAGGATCCATTGAGAGGGGAACATTTCTTTTTTTTTTTCCCTTTTTGTCTTTTTTCGTGACCAGTAACGGGATTGCAACCCTCGGTGTCGCGCCCGTACCGTGACCGGCAACGGGATCGCAACCCTCGGTGTTGTGCCCGCACCGCGCTCAACCAGTGAGCGGACTGGTCTCTATATGGGATTCGAACCCTCGGCGGGAGCTCTGCCGCGCTCCTAAGCGCCGCACTCTACCGAGTGCACCACTGGGCCGGCCCAAGAGAGGGGAACATTTCTAACAGATTAAGAGTGTTCTGAGTAGGGAGAGATGTGTGACTAGGTGGGGAAATGCTTCTTTTCAGCTCATCTCTAGCTCTATGCTTTCTTTTTCCAAAACAAGAATATACCTGTCTGTACCCATTTGTGCTCTCCCCAGGAAGTCAAGCCATTGTATTCATGTAGTAAACATTTATTGAGCATTTCTGTATTTCAAATGTGTGGGTCTAGGTTCTAGGGAGGAGAAGAATGTAAGTAGCTAAATGTATTGAATGCTTACTATCTGCCTGGCCCACTTTTACAAAGACTGTGCAGAACTCATTTGATCCTTGAAAAACCCTTTGAGGTAGGTACTGTTATTATCTCTGTTTTACAGATGAATTTGAGGCACAAAGAGGTTAAATAACTCACAGGAGGCCATACCACTGGTAATTGGAGGAGTGGTCAGGCTTCAAACTATATTATATTGTCTCTTATTAGAGGTATGGTTGGTTCTTTGCCTTGAAAAATTTGAAAATTTCTTTTGGGAGGCAGAACCCACAGATGCCTACAATACCTGCAGATCAGAGTTTCTCATCCTGGGCACTGTTGACATTTTGGAGCAGATAATTCATCACTGTAAGGGCTGTCCAGTGCATTGTAGGTTGTTCAGCATCTGCCTGTAGTGCTCCGTACCCAGTTGTGATGACCAAAGTGCTTCCAGATATTGCCAAATGTCCCTGGGGATGGGGGTGGGGCAAAATCAACCCTGGTTGAGAACCACTATTCTAGATCTTCATTTGGAATTTTAATGTGAAAGCCCCAAACCTTTAAACACTGGATTAATTTTTTTTTCCTTTTTATAAAGATGACCGGTAAGGAGATCTTAACCCTTGGCTTGGTGTTTTCAGCACCAAGCTCAACCATTGAGCTAACCGGCCGTCTCTATATAGGATCCGAACCTGTGGCCTTGGTGTTATCAGCACTGCACTCTCCCAAGTGAGCCATGGGCTGGCCCAAAGCATTGGATTAATTTAAACATCTAAACCCCCCATTATGTAGACCCCCAGTTTGGAAGCTCTGGTCTTTGAATGTCAAAGGTGTGTTGCCATCCATCCTTTCCTCTGCTAAGCTGTAAATCCTCAAGACAGTGTGCAAGGTAGCCAGTGCCAGTTAAACAAAATTGGCACAGGGGATAAATTTAGTTTACTATTCTAGATAAAATATAAGGCCAGCCCATGACTCACTCGGTAGAGTGGGGTGCTGATAACACCAAGGCCACGGGTTCGGATCCTATATAGGGATGGCTGGTTTGCTCACTGGCTGAGCGTGGTGCTGACAACACCAAGCCAAGGGTTGAGATCCCCTTACCGGTCATCTTTAAAAAAAAAAAAATGTCTTATAAAATTCACTGTTGGCCATTAATATTGTCACATTATGTCAATATTGTGGGCATTCAAAAGAGGGAACTATAATGTCTAGAGATGATGATCACCACTGGAATTGAGCTTTAAAGAATGGAATCAATTTCTAAAGGCAGAGAAAAGGGCATTGTAAGAACAACAGCAGAAGTAAAGGCTCAAAATCCAGAAAGTACAGTGGATTTTGACATAGCAATGGGTGGTTTAGTTGGGTTGTCATAAAAGGCATTTGTAGCAAATGGGTTGGGGCCAGGTGTGGAGGTTCTTGAATGTCAGGCTGAGGAGTTTGTGCATAAATCTTTAGGTATGGGGAGCTATTCCATGCTTTCAGGTAGAGTACTGCTGTTCTAGAATAATCTTCTAGGCTGGGGTTAGTGATCAGGTGTATTGATGGGAAGTAACTAGTGATCTAGGCAAGAGGTGATGAAGACTCGAATTAAAGTGGAGGTAGAAAAGACATGAGAGTCTAAGATAAAGAGGAAGTGGAATTTGGGATTTGACAGCTGATTAGCTGTGAGAAGAGTCAAAATTCATAGGTCTTCATCTTGGGCGAATGGGAGATTGACCCAGCCTCTGAACAGAATAGAGGTCAGAGCAGAAATAGGAGTTTGGGAAGAGATGGTAAGTTATGTTTTTCAGTTGTAAAAAATATCTCCTTTAGTACAACACAACTGTTCTAATTTTTAAAAATATTTTGGAGGCCACAGTCATAGAATCATTGAATATTTAGAGCTGGACCTTAAATGGAGATCAGCCAGTATTGAGTCCTTCATTTTTCAAATGAGAAAGCTGTGGTTGAGACAGATCCAGAAACTTAACGGAAGGTTATATTCTCTCACAAGTGACAGAGCTGTGGTTCAGATAGGCCTTTTAACTCCAACTCTAGCGTTCTTCCCGCTGGGGGAATATTTTTTATTGCACAAGAGATGAAATGTAATTTTGGTTTTTCTTTTTTTTTTCTTGAAAAAGTGACAACTATTATCTCAATGTGTTTTATGCTAATTATGATGATGAGCTTACTATAATGTAGAGTATGTTGTCTAAAGTTGAAGTTAACGTGCTTCATATTATACTGATTTCCACCCCCAAACCAACTGTTAAATGCTATCGAACAGCAAAAGTTGTTAAAGGTGCTATATACCGTATAATGTAGCATCTAAACTAGGACACTTTCGTCTGAGACACTTTTGCCTGGGACAAATGCCACATCAGAAGACTAGGACAGTAGGAGAAAAACCAGGGCATTAAGTCTCCCTAGCTAAGGTGAATCCTATGCCAGAAATTCATCAACTTTTATGTGGGGGGACAAAAAATTACCTTCTGATT